GGAGGCTGAGGCAGGAGAATGGCGTAAACCCGGGAGGCGGAGCTTGCAGTGAGCTGAGATCCGGCCACTGCACTCCAGCCTGGGCGACAGAGCGAGACTTCGTCTCAAAAAACAAAAAAAAAAAAGGCAAATAAACTTATGAATAGACATCTGCGCTCACTAGGAATGATGCAAGTTTGTTCAAACATTGGGAGGCACTTTGGCAATATGTATCAAAAGACCTAAAAAGTGTGTATCTAGATAATCAGAAAATTATAAAAAGATGTACTATAAGAATAATTTCTACAAAGGTGGTTATTATAGCAAAACAAAAAACAAACAAACAAAAAATACTCTGGCCGGGTACAGTGGCTCAAGCCTATAATCCTAGCACTTTGGGAGGCCGAGGCACGCAGATTGCCTGAGATCAGGAGTTCAAGACCAGCCTAGCCAACATGGTGAAACCCCATCTCTACTAAAAATACAAAATTAGTGGGATGCAATGGCAGGTGCCTGTAATCCTAGCACTTTGGGAGGCTGAGGCAGGAGAATCACTTGAACCCGGGAAGCCGAGATTGCAGGGAGCTGAGATCACACTACTACACTCCAGCCTAGGCGACAGAGTAAGACCCTGTCTCAAAACAAACAAACAAACAAACAAAACTTACCCTGGAAACAAACTAAATGTTCAACAATAGACTTGTTATACAAATTATGAAAGATCCACATCAGAATATTTCTGCCATTAAAAATGATTGGGTGGACTGAGCGAGGTGGCTCACGCCTATAATCCCAACATTTTGAGAGTCTGAGGCAGAAGGATTGCTTGAGCCCAGGAGTTTGAGACCAGCCTGGGCAACACAGGGAGGCTCTGTCTCCATAAAAAATTAAAAAATTAGGTAAGCATGGTGACATGCGCCTGTGGTCCCAGCTACCCAGGAGGCTGAGGTGGGAGGATCCCTTAAGCCCAAGGCTGCAGTAAGCCATGATCACACTACTGCACTCCAGCCTGAGCAACAGAGTGAGACATTGTTCTAAAATTACAATAAATTAAAATAATTAAATAATGATTGGGTAAAAAAAAATTGACTAAGTAGAGTTACCTAATCCTTGGAAACAGATATGGAACATATAGTATGATGCAAAAAAAAAAAAAAAGCAAGTATAATAGCACATCTCATATAATCCCATGAGTATAAGTGTATATATATTTACAAACACATAAAAATTCTGACTGGATATTTAAAGAGCAAACACTGACTATCTCTAGGATTTAGATTACTGGAGGACATTTACAATGAGCACTGCCTATTATACACATCCATTAAAAATAAATATGTATGTTATATATGTAATTGTATGGGGGAAAGTTGCAAAGAATATCCTGTAAGATGTTAAAAGTGCTTACCCCTTATCACTAGGTAGTGAGATTTCAAGTGATATTTATTTATTTATTTAGAGACAGAATTTCACTCTGTCACCCGAGTTGGAGTGCAGTGGTGCGATCTTGGCTTACTGCAACCTCTGCCTCTTGGGTTAAAGCAATTCTCCTACCTCAACTTCCTGAGTAGTTGGGATTACAGGCACATGCCACCACGCCCAGCTAATTTTTATAGTTTTAGTAGAGATGGGGTTTCACCATGTTGGCCAGGCTGATCTCAAACTCCTGACCTCAAAAGATCCGCCCACCTCAGCCTCCCAAAGTGTTGGGATTACAGGCGTGAGCCACCACACCTGGCCTATTTTATTTTATTTTTTGATGACTTCTGTTTTCTAAAGTGACTATATATTACTGGCTAATTGGTATATCGATTTTATAATTAACAACAAAACCGAATTGGCCAACCAGAGTTGTCAGACAATAACGAGCCATTGGCCATCAGGCCCAGAGAAGGCCAGGATGCTCCTGACAGGCACAAGGTATCCATCACTCCTGCCCTCACCAAGAAGTTGCTGGCACTGACGTCAGAGATTCCTTTCAATTCCATGATCCTGAGATTCCATGAACCTGTGAAAGAGTGTCTGAATCTACATGTCCTGTACTATTCTCTGGGAATCCAGGATTCTGAATTTCTTCACAGTTCCCCAAGCATACATGCCACAGTGCCCCTGCTGGCCAGACCTGGCACCTCCCCTTCCCTACCCACCCCCAGGCTCACCTTCAGAGGAGAACTCAGAGGAACACTGGTGCTGCCCACGACACTGAAGGTCACGTTCCCAGGAATGAGGATGGGGTCAGGCTCCAGAGTCAGGCTTCTGATCACCGCAGGGTCCTTTCCTTCATCACAGTTATCCCAGGAGAAGCTACCAAGCTGGGATGGCCGGGGACAATCAGGCAGCAAGGAAGGAGGAGAAGAAAAAGGTTGACAAAAGAAACTATCACAGATCACAGGAAAAACGAGCTCCTGGCAGCGTGACCTTGGGTGAGGCACCCCCGTCCCTGAGCCTCCTCTATGAGGTTCCATACCTATGAACCTGGGATAACACTTGTCCTACTCATTTCATAGGCAGGACTAAACTAAAAGACTTAAAAGACATAATCTCCCAAAAGTATACTGTAAATTATAAGGCAGGATATGACAGACCTGGAACTTCAAAACCGGAGACTGACCTAATCGTCCTTTGGTGGGCACCTTCTCTGACTTCCCTCCTCTCTGCTGCCCGCTCCTCTCCAGCCAGCCTTGGGATCCCAGCAGAGGGCAAGCTCCTGGAGGATTCAGCTCTGCAGCCCACACCCAGGACCTTGTTCATGTCACACCCCACGCCCAACCCAGAGCCAGGAACAATGGGAAACATAAAACGCAATGGGAAATCTAACGGCATCTGAAATCCCACTCTCAAGGGGCAGGTGGTTAACTCAGGAAGGAATAGGACACTCACGAAAAGATCCCCAGTGGATCACTTGCTGATGAATAATCCCCAGTGAATGGACTTCCCCAGTCCTAACCAGTGTCTTCTTCCCATCCCACTTCTCAGGTCATGTGCCCACTAGGGTCACCCGCCACCCCTCTGCTGAGCTGCTCCTCCTGTTCCTCCTCCACATCCCCCAGGTCTCCTGATTCCACCACCACTACATCTGCATGTGACTGCATGTGACCACCACTCTGCACTCCAACAGGACCCTGTCTGATTTTTTTTTTTTTTTTGAGACGGAGTCTCACTCTGTCACCCAGGCTGGAGTGCAGTGGCGTGATCTCAGCTCACTGCAAGCTCCGCCTCCCGGGTTCACGCCATTCTCCTGCCTCAGCCTCCCAGTAGCTGGGACTACAGGCGCCCACCACCATGCCCGACTAATTTTTTGTATTTTGTTTAGTAGAGACTGAGTTTCACCGTGTTAGCTAGGCCTGTCTCGAACTCCTGACCTCATGATCCACCCGCCTTGGCCTCCCAAAGTGCTGGGATTACAGGCGTGAGCCACCGCTCCCGGCCTGTCTGATGATCTTGAACACCTCCCACACCGTGAAGACTCTCTGCCCACCCACTCGCACCTCTCCCAGCCCCCTGGAGGCCACCTATGAGAGACTGTTGGCATTCCCTCCATCCACACCCTGTCTCAGAGAGAAAACCTGCCAGTCCCACACCCCCAAGTTGATGCCCACCTTCAATACTCCCATCACTGACTGGATCAAGATGGATCACTTAACCCCAGCTAGGCTGACAGATTCTCTCTGCCCAATTTTGGGATTAAGGCATAAAAGGCTGGGGATACAGGGTTTTTGTGCTGTCACTGGATCCTAAGTTTTGGGTTGAGGCCAGACCATCTAGATCTGTGATCCATGACCAAGCAGAAGTTAATGAAGGGATAAGAGCTACGGGCTCTGTTGGTCTGTGGAAAACGGAACAGATGAAGTCCCACTTCCCTATCTATAAAAGCAGTATGGAGTAGCAGTGAAGGGCACGGCTTTGGAGAGACATGGGTGAATGACAACTTTAGCCAAACAGCCCGGGGTGGAAATCATATCTCTGCCACACTTACCATGTGATTTTATAGGCCAATTTCACCTTTGGAGTCTAAATTTCCACATCTTTTAACTGGAAGCATTTCTACCTTCCTCTCTAGGATGTTGCAAGGGCTAGAGTATGTATGTAAAGCTCATAACCCAATGCCAGGCACAACGCACGCGAGCCGGCTCACTAAATGGGAGCCATTAGCATCCTAGCCTCCGCTTCCTGCCGGCAGCTCCATGAGATGTCTTGTAGCTCTGTAATAAACTTCCCCTTTAGCTGAGCTTTTAGGAATGGGTTCCTACCCCTTGGAATGAAAGGTCATGTCATGACTAAGAAAGGCAGGACAGGATAGTTGCCAATAAATGTTTCCTTCAACAATCATTTCACAAATATTTATGGAGCAATGATGATAGGCCCTGGGCTAAGTACTGTGGCAAGAGTGGTAAACAATCACACCTGGCTCCTGCCCTGCCTTGAGGAGCTTACCGTCTAATGCAAATAAATATCACCCACTGTGATTTGTGAGTGCCACAAAGGAAAAGAGCAGAAGGTAATGCTGACGGCAACAAAGGACTCACTTAGATAGGGTGGTGGGGAAGTGATACTTAAGCTGGACGCTTGGGGGATGAGGAGTCAGACATGTAAGTGCAGGCCAGGCTGAGGGAACTCAGGCAAAGGCCCCGAGGCACAAAGAAGCTTGACTGCTCTAGGCACTGGGAGAAGGCCATGGGCTAAATGTAGTGGATGAGGGACCCAGATGAGGTTGGAGGGGTGGCAGGGTCATTTAAGGCAGGACCCCACAAGCCATAATCGGGAGGTTGTTTTTACTATAGGTGCGTGGAACCCCACTGAAGGCCAGTGCTACACTGTGATTTGTGGTTGTGAACAGACTGAAAGTGGTCAAGGGAAAGAATGCCTGGAATTAAGAGTCAGGCTGGAGGGCAACATGGGAGCAGGACTAGTTTTCTGGGTGGGGCTGCTTCACAGATTCTAAGGCAGCCTGATCCACACAGAGGATTGATTCCGGGCTGGGGGTGGGGGTAGGGTATCCAGAGTCCAGAGTACCTATTGGAGAAGAATCCCTTCCCCTCTCCTAAGCTCTGCTTTCCCCAGGTCCTCGGGGAGACGTAACAAGATGGCTTCCTAAGTGTAGTGCCCGGCTAGCTGTCTCTGTAGTGACAAATTCTGCTGCTGAGTCCAGGCTCATAGGGAAAGGGAGGTGTCATGGATTAGCAGTGCCCACCAAGGCCAGGCTGGTCACCAGATATCTGTCATCCCAGCCTAGGCCAACAAGTGGGAAGGGGTGGCACAAGACGGAGGGGAAAGGCACAGCTCTGGAGGCAGAGATACGGGTACTACAGGTATGAGTTAAAACCCAGCTCAGCCAGTCTCACTAGCTGAGACCATGGCTAAGTTAACCCCTTAGAGGTTCAAAATTTCCTCATTTATTACGTGGACATAATGGTATCTTCTCACGGGACTATTGTGAGGGCAAGATGTTTGTATATAGAAAGCACAGGGCACAACTCCTCAAGACTGTCAGGCTCATGAATAAACAAGGAAAGACTAAGAAGCTGTCATAGGCTAGAGAAGAGTGGGGACTACAATGATATGTGTCATGACAATGGCAATGCAGTACCCTGGATTGGATCCTGGCTCAGAAAGAGGGCATTAATGGGAAAACTGGTGAAATCCAAACAAAGTCTAGAATTCAGTTAACAGTAATGTACTAACGTTGGTTTCTTAGTTTTGGAGATATGTACATGTAAGATGCTAACAGGGGAAACTGAGTCAGGATTATGTAGAAATTCTATATTATCTCTGTAACTTTTCTTTCTCTCTTTCTTTTTTTCTTGAGACAGGGTCTCACTCTGTTACCCAGGCTAGAGAGCAGCAGCCACAATCTCAGCTCACGGCAACCTCTGCCTCCTAGGTTCAAGTGATTCTCCTGCATCAGCCTCCCAAGTAGCTGGGACTACAGGTGTATGCCTGGCTAATTTTTGTATTTTTAGTAGAGACAGGGTTTCACCATGTTGGCCAGGTTGAGGGTGGTCTCGATCTCCTGGCCTCAAGTGATTTGCCTGCCTCAGTCTCCCACAGTGCTGGATTATAGAGGTGAACCACCACGCACCGCTGCAACTTTTCCATAAACCTAAAATTATTCCAAATCTTTTTTTTTTAGGAAAAAAGCACATAGCTCAATACATAGCACATAGTATGTGTACAATAAATGACAGCCACTATATAGCACTATAGTCTATTAAGCATCTACTATATGACTAGCATGGGGCTAGATATCCTCCCCTGTTATCTAACACTCATCACAGCCCGTAGTCACAAGATCAGTTATGCTAGAAGAGGAACTGAAATTCAGGTTTCCTGATGTTCACTCACTGTCACCCCCCGCTCCCCCAGTCTTTATCTGGCCCAGAGACTCAAGGTCAGGCCTCTGAATCACATGAGCCCTGAGATGTAGGTGCTGTGTGATTTTGAGTGACCTTTATAATGTCTCAGAGCCTCTTCAAAACTGCCAATCTAAGACCTAGTCTGAGATGGCATCCATACCCACAGCATAAATGGGAACAAGTTTGTAGGGTAAGCTAGCAGCCTCTAGCCAGACTCCACCTCATAGCGGCCAGCCCTGGAGTCAAGAGAAACATTCCCAGCCAATATTCAGGAACAAGGTATAAATTCTCCAGGCAAATGAAGTCAAAAGTTCCACATTCCTTCATTCAACAAGCAAAACAGACTTTCTGCCTCGGGGGCACAGTGAGGCCAAGCCCACAGATTTATATGGCTTTATTTGTTTCTGATTTTAGAACTTTTCCATCAATGAATGCATTTCCCTTCACTGAAGAGATTCAGGTTGGCACCATCACACCCATCGTACAGATGAGGAGACCAAGACTCAGGGAATCCACAGATTGAGACAGAGGAGGGATCAGAAGCCAAGCCTCCCTGCTTTCAGTACCACACACTTTCCCCTACACAGCACTGTTCCTCACTCTCAAACACTTCCAAGATGGTAGGAGGGAGGGGATCAGGGGTGGACCTATCCCTTTGCTACCAGAAATGTTTGATATCTTGGCTAGCAGCCAAGAGGCAATGGAATTGGGTTTTTGTTTGTGGGGTTTTTTTGTGAGATAGGGTCTCACTCTGTCACCCAGGCCGGAATGCAGTGGTGCAATCTCAGCTGCGGCCACGACCTCCCAGGCTCAGGCAATCCTCTTACCTTAGTCTCCCGAGTAGCTGGGACTACTGGTGCACACCACCACGCCTAGCTAATTTTTGTATTTTTTGCAGAGATGGGGCTTTGCCATGTTGCCCAGGCTGGTCTTGAACTCCTGAGCTCAAGCAATCTGCCCACCTCAGCCTCCCAAAATGCTGGGATTACAGGTGTGCACCACTGCACCTGGTCTTGGGTGTTTTTTTTTAATTGACAAACCACAGTTGTATACATTTACGGGGTGCAATGTGAAATGTATTCTCTTGGTTGTTTTGAAGTGCACACAGTTCCTGACTTACTATGGTTTGACATACCATTTTTCCACTTTACAATCGTGCCTAAGTGACAAATATTCAGCGAAAACTGTACTTTAAGTATCCATACTGTTTTTCACTTTCAGTACAGTCTTCAATAAATCACATGAGACATTCAACACTTTATTATGAAACAGGCTTTGTGTTAGATGATGTTGCCCAACTGTAGGCTAATGTAAATGTTCTGAGCATGTTTAAGGTAGGCTAGGCTAAGCTATGATGCTCAGGTTAGTTGTATTAAATGCATTTTCAACTTAATGGTATTTTCAACTTACGATGGGTTTATCAGAACGTAACCCCATGGAAAGTTAAGGAGCTTCTGTATGTAATACATTACTAACTATAGTCACCCTGGTGTGCAATAAATCTCAAAGCCTACTGCTTAGCAGAACTCAGTGGCCCCACACCTGTAGTCCCAGCTACTCAGGAGGCTGAGGTGGGAGGACTGTTTGAGCCCAGGAGTTCAAGGCTGCAGTGAGCTATAATCGCCCCACTGCACTCCAGCCTGGGTGACAGAGTGAGACCCCATCTCTACTCTCAACTTCTGTAAGTTCAACTTGGTTAGAATCCGCATATAAGTGAGATAATAAAACAAAACTACCATATGAACCATTATCCCACTTCTGGGCATATACCCAAAGGAACTGAAATTTCTGGGTATGTATCCAAACGAACTGAAATTTCGAAGAGCTATCTGCACTCCCATATTCACTGCAGCATTACTCACAATAGCTAAGATATGGAAATAACCTAAGTGTCCATCAACAGACACTTGATGGATAAAGAAATTATCCATCAAATTGAATGCATAAAGAAAATGTGGCATATATGCACAACAGAATACTATTCAGCCTTTAAAAGGGGAAACATCTTGTCATTTGCAACAACATAGACTGAATCTATGAAGCTAGTTGCAATAAGCCAGGAACTAGGCTTTTTCAGGTCAAGGGATTACAGAACTTCCCTTTCCCAGGGATCTGCAGCACGGTGTGAATGAGAAGTGAAGGAGGAAGCTTGGAGGGTAGGGGGACTGTTGTCTCAGTGGCTCACAACCAAGGGCAGCGGGGTCACAGGCCTGGTTATTTGTCACCAGATGGGCAAATCTGGATCCTCTGGCCTGGAGAAGCTCTCAAGTCCTCCTACGTCTAAGGAAGAGCTCAGGACATTCGAGCAGGGGAAGAGATGAGGCAACAGGCCTTATCATGGGGACATAAGGAGTGGCAGTCAGGAGTAAGGTGCAGGGTAACAGGACTGAATCTCTGGGGGCAATGCCTTAGTTTTAAGGCTCTCTGCATTTTCACTCCGGCGCTTGGAGAGAGGGCAGCAGAGTGCAGACGTGAGATGAATCTCTCCAAAAAGGGCCTGGAGCACAACAAGTCTTTACAGGCCACCTCATTGTACAGACCAGAATCCCATAATTAGTTACTTTGGAAGGCTCTAGTGCAGAGAGCCAACTCTAGATAACGCAGTGGCCACCCCCATATCTGAGCCAGACCCGCATACCCGTAGCTGGGCCAGGAGGCTGCAAACAGCCTCTTAAAGGAGGGTGCACTCACCTTTTTCAGGTGGGCTTGCGCAGGGGCCGCGAAAAGCAAGCCCAGGGCGATCAGGACGGGAGCCTGCATCAGGGACTGCATTGAGAAGCGTGGGTCAGGGCGGAGTTAACAAGGTCTGTGGCGGCAGAGGCGCCTTTAAATGCCTTCCTGTATTGGTTACGCAAAGCTGTGTTTTGCTATGCAAAGCTGAGTCCAGTCACTGGCAGGTTCGCCCTGCCCCGCCCCGGCCAGAGATTTCCCGGCCGAGAGTTGGACCGATTCCTCCCGGCTCCGCCCCCTCGCTCTTTTCATTGGAGTCTATCTCTCTAGCGTAGGTGTTAAGGCCTTCCCTCTGTGGGGCGTAGGCGGAGTTGGAGGAGAAAGGGGCGGAGCTGACTGCAAAGGAATGAATGCTTCTGAAACTGAAGGGAGCTTAGCACAAGGTTGGGACGGGATCCCGAGGGCGGGGCGAAGCTGCGCGCACGGGAGGGGCGGGGCCATGGCGCGAGAAGGGGCCGAGCGGAGTCGGGGGCGGGGCGGAGCCGAGCTTCTGGGAAGAGCGGCGCCGGGCCGGAGATGGAGGGGACCTGCGGTTTGTGAACTCGTGCCGGGACCATCACCTCCTTCCTAAAGGAAGGACCTTTGGGAAACCGTGGATTCAGTGTTTTCATCCCCAAATCTTTCTTGACAAAAATGTCAGGCTCTCTGCAGTGTTACGCTTCCCCATATCCGTGTTTTTTTTTTTTTTTTTTTCTTGCTTTGACACGGAGTCTCGCTCTGTTGCCCGAGCTGGAGTGCAGTAGCGCGATCTCAGCTCACTGCAAGCTCCGCCTCCCGGGTTCAAGCGATTCTCCTGCCTCAGCCTCCTGAGTAGCTGGGATTACAGGCATGCACCACCACATGCAGCTAATATTGTTTTTCTGTTTTTAGTAGACACGGGGTTTCACCATGTTGTCCAGGATGGTCTTGATCTCTTGACTTCATGAATCCGTGTTTTTTTAATAATTATAGCTGTTTTACAAACTAACATTTAGTAACTGCTTGAAAGCATGCTAAGGACTCACGAGGGAATGCTTTTTTTCTTCCCCAATTTTAGCACTGAGGAAACTGATACACAGTGAGGTTAGCTCGCCAAGGTCACACAGCTAGGAAGGGATAGAGCAAGACTTCTTTTTAGACACCCCAACAGCCAAGATTTCGTCAGGTTAATATACGAGTTGGAGATTTGCTTTTAGATAAAACAGGGTTACTGGTACCGCCAACTTACCACAAGATTGTGAACTCCACACGGGGTGGCATCATGACTGAGGCACTCATACCCAGTGCCTGATGCATAATAGACAATTTGTTGAGTACATGAATGCATGTGTAGAATTTAAAACTCACCTGATCATCTTTTTTAAAGTAAACTTTTTATTTTGGAATTAATTTTAGGTTTACAGAAAAGTTGCAAAAATAGTACAAAGTTCTCTTCGTTTCTTCTGTTGTTGAGTATGACTCCTGTGGCCTGGTCGGGGGTTCAGGCTGCAGACCCAGAGCTTCTGCTTGTGCATAACTGGGACCCCCAGGCGTGGGGGTCCTTTCAACTGCCAGCGACAAGGAGGTGGCAAAAGAATAAAAAATTAAATTTTTTTTAAAAAATCTGAGAGCATGACATTGGTACACTATTATTAACTAAGCTCCACACTTTACCTAATGATCCTCCCATTCTGATCAACTCTTCCCTTTCATCTAGCCCAACTGAGGTAGGAGAATAGAGTCTGGAGGCAGGGAACCTAAGACCATTTCACGCTGACTTCCTAGAACTAAATTGAAAGGAAAACCCTAACTTTCCACAGCTAAGTAACAAGAGGACCAGAGGCTACTCTCTTTGCAAACCCCCACCTTTTCTGTGCAGCAGATGGGAAATTGAAAGCACATTTCAATAGCTATGCTACATTTCAATTTCTGTGTTAAAATTGCATAGAAGTGCAACTTTGTAACTTCACTTCAGCCTGATTGGTTGCTTTCCATAACCAATCAGATGTTTGCACAGGAGTGTGACCTTTGTAACTTCACTTCGTCCTCTAATTAACCAATCAGACTGATTGTGGGCCACCATGTCATTTACATGAGGTGAACACCAGGTGGCCAATGGGAAACCTCTAGGGCGTATTTGGACCCAAGAAGATTCCGTATCTCTTGAGCTGCTGCTTGGCCCGCCCCGACACTGTGGAGTGTACTTTCATTTTTAATAAACCCTTGCTTTTGTTCTTTCATCGCTCCATTTTTTCCTTGCTTTTCTGTGTGTTTTCTCCAACTCTTTGTTCAAAAACCCCAAGAACCTAGACAACTTTCAGTCAAAACCCTCTACAGGAAACATATTTTGGCAAGCCAGCCAGGAGAGAAGGTAGGCCCAAAGCTTGGAATTGATTTTTCTCCTTTTCCCTTTTAATGCAGGGGAATCTTTCTCTCCCTCTCTCTTTTCCTTTCCAACTCGGAACCCTCAGTGGGCAGCGCCTAAGCACAGAGGAAATTGCAAGTTTCTGGCCAGGGCCACTGTCTGGTGAAACTGAAAGGCTTCCATGTCGAAGCACTTGACCACCACTGCCTGTTTAGGGTGAGGAGTCTTTTTCCTTGTTTTCATTTGTCTGAGTCCTATTCCTTTTCTTTCTTTCTTTCTTTCTTTCTTTTTTTTTTTTCGGAGTTCTTTTCCTTTTTTGCTTTTTCAGTCTTTCACTGGTTGTTTCCTAGTAACTCCTTGGTAATTGAGGGGAACTGGTCAGGGCCACTCTCCAGTGTTCTCTGAAGGCCAATGAGGGAACAGGGATGGCTGCCCTGCCCAGAAGGGTGAAAGACTCTTTTCTATCCTTTCTGATTATAGTCCCTGATCCCTACCTGTGTCTCAGTTGGCAGCAGCAGCTCATTCAGGGCAAACTCACACATGTTTCAGGTGACTTAAACTTTCTTATGCTAAATTCTTCCCTTCTCTTCCTTTCCCCTACTCGACTGGCTAAGGACAGAAAACCCACCCAGCTATGCAAAAAGGTTATATGAGTCAGAGGGGCCAGGCATGTCATAGGTGGTCTGTGTGGTGCATGGGGAGTGGGGGTAATTCATGAAAGGGAATCTATTGTTGCCTAAATTGAAAGAGTTAAAGGGTTGGTTTAAGTGGCATGGGAAAACCTTAAGGAAAGTTCATAGTAGGAATGTCCCAGGTAAAATTTGGGTCACCTGGTGAGCCTTCCACTTTTCAAAGTCCTCTTCTCTTTTCCAGACCACCATGGGCAATTCTCCACCTATTCCACCTGATTGCCCGCTTGGCTACATCCTCCACCATTGGAATCAATTTGACCCTGACAATCTAAAGAGAAAGCATATAATTTTTTTCTGCAGTACTGTCTGGCTCCATTATGAGCTGCCCAGCCTGGAAAAAATGGGTAGTCAATGGTAGCCTTAATTATGACATCATCCTGCAATTAGACCTATTTTGCAAGAGGCAGGGCGAATGGCCAGAAATCTTGTATGTACAGACTTTCATGACTCTATACCAAAACCTAAGAATCTGTGAAACTCCCAGAACCCACCCCACAAAGGAAAGTTCTAAGGGAGAACTACATATTATAGATGACCCCCTCTTACAAGGGCCACCTGTCTCTCAGAGTGAACAGTGACCACTCCCATACAGCCCAGGAGCAAACACCAGAGACCCTACTAAGTCCCCCTCACATTCGGAGGGGAACCCCTGTATTCAACTCTCCTTCCAGCCCTGCTACACCTTAGGGAAGTAGCAGGAGTTGAGGGGCCAGTCCTAGTGCAGGCCCCCTTCTCTACAACTAATATACAACAATGTAAGGAAAGGCTAGGAAGCTGTTCTGAGAATCCTAGGAAATTTGCAGATGGGTTCCAAACTTTGACCTTAGCCTTTCATCTCTCATGGAGAGATGGTCAATTCATTCTAGCAACCTGTTGACACTCCCTCAGAAAAGGAACACATCTTTGAGGCTGCCAGCAAGGAAGTGGATGAATTATCCGCCTGAAACCCTCAGGGCAATTACCGAGGCCCAGACACAGTTCCCACTACTGATCCTAATTGAGACTATAACGCCCCCCATGGGAATGAACCACTGGGTTAAATTTCTTGAGACTGTCCTTGGAGGAATGAGAAAGGGATTAACTAAGGGAGTAAATTATGATAAAGTAAGGGAGGTTACACAAGGCAAGGAGGAAAATCCAGCCATGTTTTATGGTAGGCTGGAGGAAGCCTTTAAATATATACTAATCTGGACCCTTCCTCTCCCAAAGGCAAAATATTAATGGCACAGCATTTCATTAGCCAGTCTGCCCCAGACATTAGACGTGAACTCCAAAAGCTACAGATGGGGCCACAAACTAATCAAAATCAACTTCTTGATACTGCCTTTATGGTGTATAACAATCATGACCTGGAGGAAGGAAAAAGAGAACAGAGTAAAGAAAGATGCAAGCCAAAATTATGGCAGCCATCATTGGTGATGCCCTGAAAGCCCAAAGAGTGTCTAAGGGAAACCCGGAGGACCGTAAAGATAATGCCAGCAAAGGCAAGTCTTCCTTCAAATGCAAGAAAAGCAGGCATTGGGCAAAGGAACGTACTAAGTACCCCCCCTCCCCGCCCAAGGCCCCTGCTGTCAGTGCAAAGGCACCAGTCATGAACCCTAGCACTGGAGAATTGACTGCCTTTGCTCCCACGGAGGGGCTGGGTTAGGCAAAACTCTAGCAGTGCGAAAGGAGGAATCAGGTGAAGACTGAAGGGGCCCGGGATCTTCCTCACTGCCCCTGTCCAGGAACATTATAATTACCTCTGGGGAGCCCCGAGTAACTCTGGATGTCGTGGGCACCCAAATTCAGTTTCGTTTTGATGCAGGGGCAAATTACTCTGTCCTTACTGCTTATGCAGGGAAACTTTCCTCCTGGTCCATGAGTGTTACAGGAATGGAAGGGAAACCACAAACCAGATTTTTTACTCATCCTTTGATTTGTCAATTTAAGAAACAAATCTTCCAACAGGAATGCCTAGTAGTATCAAGCTACCCAACCCCCTGCTGGGAAGAGAGATTATGGTTAAAATAAGGGCACTACTACAATTTAAACATCATCCAGTGAAATT